CCGGCCGAAAGCAGTGCTGCCGCCGCCGAGCGGCTCTCCGGCACCGTCCCTGTCCCTGGGAGCACCTCCACCTCCTCTTCGTCTTCTCCTCCGCCACCTCCTCCTCCTCCTCTCTCCCGGGACGACAAGGGGCCAGGTCTGGGGCTGAGGCAGTTCCGATGGATCATCTTCTCCTGCGGCTCCGGAGCGGGGCTCCCCACTGCTTCGGACAAATTAGGCACCCTCTTGCCAACTAGAGCGCCCAGTTGTGTCCCTTCCAGAAACATCACCATCTCCTTCCTGGTTTCCATTGTGGTTTTGCTTAAGGGAGGGGGAAAAAAAAATCCAGATCTCTTTCCCCCCCTCCCTCCCGCTCCTTGTATAAACCCAGCAACCCTCTCCTGCCAATGCGGAGGAGCAAGCGGTGAGATAGGGTGACCTTGTGATGCGAGCGCTACACTCCGCTGTGCTGCTCTGGGAGGGATCACCATTGCCCTCTTCTTTCTAAGCTGTCATCCTCAATGGTGCAGTCGTCATTACAGTACCACCGGTGACGCCACACATTGATTGCCAGTGGATAAATAGAAACGTCTGCCATGGGGAAGATGAAAGGAAGAGCCGGAGCTAATGGGCTAGATGCGTGATGCACCAGGTGTAGGAGTCCGAAGTGGAGAGGGAAGTGTGAAAAAGAGATGCATATGGAGCTGAGCTGCAAAGAGGTTGTAACATGCGGGGAGAGATCCGCAGGGGGAAGCTTTGCCTGACAATTAAGTAGCTTTTTGACTGCTTTAAGCCACAACCTTGATGTAGAATTGAGGCGAAGATACCTAGCTGCGTCCTGGAAGTGCGAAGATATGTACTCAAGCCTCTTCCTTGGATGCATTATTTATTGCTGGCAATCAGCTTCTGCATAACCGCATGTATAAGGCTTTAAGAATCCTTTGCAAACTCGAGGACAAGGAAATGCGCTGCTGACACCTGAATGCAGAAAAAACCTTGATTTCTTGTTCTGGTTTCATACCGTTTCATGCTCTTATAATTGTTATTGCTTTATATTGACTGGGATTAAAACGTTAGTTTAAAATTTAGAAATGTGATTACACATTTATTTTTTTTTTACAGCTGATAAGAAACAATACTTCACTTTTAGTTATTATGGCTATCTGCTGTTTGTAGTTTACTCCTATTTCTTCCTTCACAGTTTTCATTTATTCCACCATTCTTGCGCTTTTAAGAGAGTTTTAAATCTCTTTATCTTTCTTCTGTTTAATTAATTGTTTTGCAAAATTTGTTATCTGCTTTCAGGAGGAAAAACTGCAAGAAGGTCTGCCAAGAACAATTCAGGCTCAGAGAAATGCAAGTTATCAAGGCCAGAGCTTATGCTAGCTAGCAGATGCTGTTAAATGAGAAATGACAAGAGCAACCATTTGCACAGCACTTGTCTAAAAGTAAGGGACCTTGTAATGTAAATAGAGATGTACACGTAGTTTCTTCGGCATAGTATGTTATTTCTAATGAGTGCAGCAACTATCTCCTCTCTAGTTAATATTAACTCACACGTGTAGTGTCAAGTCATTTTTACCATCTGTCGTAACTAGGTTGTTCTAAATTTTTTCTCTCGGAGTGTTATTGGCTAGTCAGGTTACAGAAAACATTCAACCAATTACGTTCCCAACCCAGTAAGGAATTTACTGGCATATTTGAGGTGACGTTGCTTCGGTGGGGAACATGCAGCGCAATAGGAAACACGCTGAGATTTTCTGTCCAGCCCTGTGAGCAGGACGGGCATGGTGCAGGGATGCAAACAAACAAACAAGTAAATAGGATTCCAGTTCCACTGGATGCATGAATTAATGCGTACTGTCAGCAGTAAACATACTGATTCGAGGGGGATAAACCAGAAATTTTTACACTGCTGTCGCCAGCAATGTCTCTTTCTCCCTGCGTGGACATGCAAGCCTGTTTCAACGCAAACCCGCAGGACCCGCACACCACGCTCCGGACTGCGGTGCTTTCCGCCACACAAGCGATGCGTGCACTACTCTGAGGCTTCACAATTTCTTGAAAAGTCATTGTTAAATTCCCTTTCCCTTCTCTGCCTTGCCAGGTTTTAGCCCGATGTGTCCCCTTCCAGCCTCGGATGAGGACCCGTCGCCCACCCCAGCCGCATCCGGGCTCTGCTCCGCGGGCTGTGCGAGCGTGGAGCCGGGGAAGCAGGATCAGGTCCGGCTGCTGCGGGAGCAGGCGGTGGATGGATGGATGGATGGATGGATGGATGGATGGATGGATGGATGGATGGATGGTTGAGGTGGTCTGGCTTCGCCATCTGACTGGCAGTCGCGGCGCGCCTGTTCCCGCTGGGCGGAGTCGGAGGGCCAGTGCTGATCCCTCTGCGGGGAGCAGCGCGGAGCCGTGCGGCGGGACCAGGCAAGGCGAAGCCGGAGCGCTCGGGGAGCGCTGTGCCCGTGTCGCACTGCTGCCGG